GGGGCAGGGAGCGGGGGCGCGGGGCCGCAGCGCCGGCTCTCTCCCGGAGGAGGTCGGGCCAGTCCGCCCGCCGCACCTGCCGCCCCCTGCCCGCCGCAGCTCCGCGCACTCGCCCAACTTTGGTCGGCGCGCCGCGCTCGGGGAAGGTGCGCCCGCCTGCCTGCCGCCGGCCCTGCGCCGCGTCCCGCCTCAGGGACCCCGCGGGCCGGCCCCGCGACGCTGCCCACGTGCCTCGGCCTGGGGTCTGGCCGCACGGTCCCCGCTCGCAGGACAGACGCCCGCTGCGCCCCACTCAGTCCGAGCTGGGACAACGGGCAGGCGGGCGCGGAATCTCCCCGGCCCTGGGCGTCACAGGCCCAGGGCAGAAAGCGAAGCAAAAGCGCCCGGCCCTTCCTGCCCCGCGCTGTGCGGTGCCCGCACGGCTGGGCCTCTGATCTTCACTAGGCGCGCAGCGGGCCTCCAGTTCGGGGCCCTGGGATACAATTGTTCTGATTTTTAAAATGGATAAATTATGCCTAATTTTTTTTAAATAAAAGAGAGAGAGAAAGCACGTGAGATCTTTGCAGTTTTAAGAGTTGAAGCATTGGTCCCATAGGTCATTCGTATCCTCCCAGGGACGAAGAGGCACATTCAGCTCTTCGCAAACGCTCCACCAACCCCCCGGGACTTGCCCCAGGCCCCACCTGAGACATGGAAGCAGCTTCTCATGCGTGTCATCCCTCAGGTTTCTGGAACAATGATGCAGGGGGATGAACTGTAGGACAAAAGCAGTGGTCTAAACACCAGAAGCCTCGGCCCCTCAGTCCATTTACTTCTGTGAGTGATCTCAAGTGACAAGCAATGGGGACACTCCTTACTGTCCTGAGGCTCCTTCTGTTTGTTTTGGGGCTCTCAGTGTCCATCTCTGTCCCCTCTCTCCTTCCTCACTGCAGTGCTGCTGGGTGCCCTAGATAGTGGAATAAGCTTTTAAACTTTTGCAAACCCCTCATCAGACCCCTTGCCTTCGTGGGGTGGAAGAGTCCTATGCTGTTGTGGCTTAGAATGCACAGGTGAGGCAGGGAAAGGGGCTAGTGGGTCCCCTGAATGAGTTAGGGCTGACTGACATCAGTGAGCTCTGTCCTTGATGCCAGGCTCTCTGACACTGATGAGGCCCAGAGCAATGTTGCCTCTTTCCTTAGCTGCTCCTGCAGTCCCTGGGTTCCCTGGCCTGCCTGACTGGTCCTGCGGCCACCACTCAGGTCTCTTGTTAACATGTGGGCAGAGGTCTCAGGTCAGGGCCCCTGCCTGGATGCGGAGCCCCAGCGTCTGGGTGCCTGGGCCCAGAAAGGGCCTGCAGGGTCTGGAGGCAGACCCTCCTGACTGGCAGCAACTTTGCCTTGGGGGCCATTTGCAATGATACCAACCACCTCACCTGCAGCTCCTCCTGCTGACAACCCCACCCCATCCCCACATGATCCTGGGAGCCTGAGATGGGAGTGGGGCCCTCAGCCGTAGCAGGCGGCTCCTAGAGAGCAGGTCAGAAAGATGGGCCTGGCTTCAGACTTGTCCAGACCAGCAAGCTCCCCCTGTTCGCCTGTCTTGCCACTCAGTGGGAGGGATGAAGGCAAGATGCTCTTCTCCCCATTTTACAGGTGAGTAAACAGAGGCATGCAGATACTTGCCCCAGACATCACCTGCAATGGAAGAACCAAGGCCAGACTGTGTGGGTGGATGGTGCAGGGTGTGGAGGAGGGATCTCTCTTATTGTTCCCTGCACCCTTCTTTCAACAGGGGGAACACATGTATCTTGTGGGCCCATGTCACCAGGGCAGCAGAGAGCACAGTGAAGAAACAGGTGCAAAATAAGAGCAGCATTCCTCCAGGCTGTGCCTTTCGTAGGCCTTGAACCCCGAGGCCCTGGCCTCAGAGGTGGTAACCACAGGTGCTAGGGAAGGGAGAAGGGCCACAGGTGCTAGGGAAGGGAGAAGGACCGTTTTCTCCCAGTCAGCCGCTGGCTATCTGGGTGGCAGGGGGATTGCCTGAACGTCGCGGTCCCTCTGACCACATCCCTGACCTGGATTGCAGCTGTGTGCTCTTGGGCTGCACACTGCACTCTGAGCTTCAGTTTCTTTTTTCTGTAAAATAATCTCCTTCTTATTTGACAGTGTTTAGGGAAGCTTAGGCAGGAAAATGGTCCTTTATAAACTGTAAAGTGCGGTGTCCATGGCAGTTCCTCATTTTTTTGTTCTTCTTGAAGATTGATTCCTCTCTGTAGGCTTTTCTGTTGGGAAGTTAGCAAGTTCCCCTGGCTTCTCTCTGGCTTGTGGAAACTTCCCTGGTCCACAGTCACTCAGCTAATTTCATTGTGAAAATAATATTTGTATGTCATATTCAGCTCTGTGGTGCTGCTTTTTGTCTGTTGCTTGGCTTCTTGGCATTTCGGATTATCTGAGTGCAAGACAGCTCATGCCGAGGGCTTGTTTGTTTGATGGACATTCAGAAAAAATAAGCTTGAATAAAAGACTAAGATAAAATTGAAGTTAGAAATCCCACCCCCTCTGAAAGCTCAAGCTAATTTCATTTTCAAAAGCCTAAACCTTGTGGGAGATGTTGGGGTCTGTAGCAAACGTAGTTAATAATGATAATGATAATAATGAAATCTTTTTTCATTTCAGGTCTGGTACCTTAGCCTCACTGGGGATTCCCAGAGACCTTCGGAAGCCCCCAGCACCCCCAAAACTGCTGGCCAGCTGCAAAGCTGTCTCCCACAGGCCACTTACCTCATCCAGTACCAGGGAGTCAAGATCAGGTTCCAGGACTTGGGTGTGTGGAAGTCTGTCATAGATAGCCACGCTCCTTGGCTAAAGGCAATTCTCTGAAGGAGGGAAGCAGTGTGGCTCTTCAGTGACTCAGGGCAGATGACCTCACCTTGGTTTTTCTTGGCTGTGAAATGGGGTGACAGGTGCCCCTAAGGTGAGGGAAGACTGACCTTACGGCGAGCACCTCCCTGATGGTGTCCATGAAGTAGACACCACATTTCATGTGGGTCGTTCAGCGTTGCCCAAACTGGACTTGAGTAGGGAACTACTTGCCTTTCAGCCTCCCTGTAACTTAAGATCGGTCAAGCCTGCCTCGTGCCACTACATCATTCTGTCCTCAAGGAACACACAAACAAATCTGTTTTCCTGCCAGTTCTGGTGTCCAGTGATGACACCAGAGGCAAGAGTGTCCAGGCCTGAGGAGGGTAAGCCAACAGACACCCAGTCCCTTCAGCCCTTCTAGTCCTTTCTGGCCCTGAGAGAAGATCTTCCAAACACAATATCGGTCTGGGGTGAATCAGTTTTAGACCAGGCAGAGGCAGAGAATTAAGTACATAAAAGCAAAGAAGACACTTCAGAATCTTTATGGATCAGGCCTTGGTGAGTCCTCACACCCGCAACCTGACAGTTCATGGCTGGCAGAACCTTCTCCCCTGCCCATCTCCCACCAGGGAGGGCTGTGATTAAGAGTTGTGACAAGGCACGAGGGACTAGGGCAGGTGAGGTAGAGACAGCTGGTTGACCACCGAGTCCGTCTCTTCTCTCTTGCTGCTGGGACTTCACATTATTGAGGACAGTGGGCTTTGGTAAAATCTATTTTTCTAGCCTCTCTGGCAGATAGAAGTGAGATATAGACCAAAACCCTTGGGTTGGGCTTCCAAAGAAGCTTGTTACATGGGGCTGAATCAGCTGAGAGGCTCTTCTTTCTTCCTGCTGCCTGGAACATAAGACACGAGGGCTGGGACTCCAGTAGCCATCTTGTGACCATAAAGCAATGCTGAGAATGGAAGCTGTGTGATAAGGAGGTTGGAACGGGCACACAGGACGAACCTAATTCCTTGATGACCCTGGTACCAGGCTTTATGCCTTGGATTTCCTTTCTTGGATTTCTTTCATGTGAGCAAACCTCGTCTTGTTTAAGCCTGCTATTTGGGCTTTCTGTTACATGTGGCTGAATCCCATACTGACTAAATGATACAGCTGGCTATTTAAACCATGCCCCATCAGAAAAACAAATTTCTAAACTTGAGTGGAATAATTATGTCATATTTGCATAGAAAGAGTAGCACATTTTTAAAAAATCTTCTTATCACCATCTGTACTTTTTTGGCTTTAATCAAATGCTCTGAACAGTCTGTGCTTAGGTTTATCATAAAAAGTTTTTAAAAGACAAAACTAATCCTGGGAGGAAATAAACGAAGCCAGCCCATTGATTTCAGCTATAGCTTTCATTAGCCTAAACTGGATGGTGAGGTTCTATGGTGTTAGCTGTTGGGGCTTCAACCTCTAGCCTGCTGAGGAAGGTACCAACACTCAGAAAGCTGATGGGACTGCTCAGGTCCTGGGCCACCCAGACCTGGAAGCTTCTTGGCCAGGCCAGCCCTGCATCCAGGGAGCAAGTAGTCAGACTTTGGGTTTTAAAGTACACAAAGTGGCACTTCCTGAAATCACTGCATCTCACTTGCTAACTCATTCTAACTTCTTGAGACCACCACTGGACTTTCTCAGGGACATAAAGCCTTGTTTGTAAACTTTCCAACTCGCTTTAGAATTTGGGGATTCTGAGTTTTGAGTCAAATTTGAATTATTTGGAGGTTTGAGTTCAATTTTCTCTGACAAAACACACTTCCTGGTTAGAAAGAAAGTCATTTAAGGGGCTTATAAAAGGGTTCTGGAAG